CCCAGATGCTATATCTTTTGATAGCCAGGCACCATCAGCTTTCTTCACATTTGCTTATGTACCCAGCAAATGGCAATTTAACATAGGAAGCAAGTAGGCATTAAAACGAGGGACAGTCTTTGTCCTGCTGGCCATTACGGTATAACAAGGTAAGCTACAGTTAACGAAAAAACAACCTTTATTTTCGTCTTCCAATAACAAACTGTTGCCTTTTTGTTCTCCCAAGATAATCATGATTACCTTACATAAAATTTGGCATATACAATACATCTTCAAAGTATTTCCCTTTAATGGGAAACTTAGCATCACAGTATCTCGAGATTAAAAAGTTCAAAAAAAAATCCATCTTGTTGCGTTTATAAAACAAAACAGAAGCAAACATAAGTCAAGAAAATCCACTCAAACTTCAGGTCCTTCTCCTCCAGGAACCAGCGTTATTATGTTATTTCCATTTAGGCAAATCTGACCTAATTTAATAATTCTTCTTCCTTCTGGTGCGATTTCAAAAGTTATCAAAACCTGCAAGTGTGCCAATAGTTTCCTGGTCACTCTTCATCACAATGTGAATCCTTTGATCCTATACTTTTGTCCACAAGCACTAGAGCAGTGGTTCTCAACCTGTGGGTCATGACCCCTTTGGGGGTTGGATCACCCTTTCACAGGGGTCGCCCAATTTGTACCATTAGAAAAATTACAGTTATGAAGTAGCAATGAAAATAATTCTATGGTTGGGGATCACCACAACACGAGGAACTATATTAAAGGGTCACAGCATTAGGAAGGTTGAGAACCACTGCTCTAGAGGCAGCAGCTGCGATGGGTTCTTAGTAGCATTAGCCACCTTGGCTATGCCAGAAGTGGAGGGGGACAGTTCTTTTTTGTCATATAGGATCACTATGAGACAGAATTGATTCTATGGCTCTCAAGAACAGCATGATCCTTTTAAATTCCAGAAAAATGTTAACACTTATTTCTATTTTCAGGAGTCTCATAGTGATGATGATACAAAGGATAATAAAGCAACTAGTCCTGGTCCAACTGACTTGGAAACCCGCAGTCCTTCCCCGATTTCCATCTCAAGTAGTGAAACAAGCAGCATTATGCAGAAACTGAAGAAAATGAGAAGTCGCATGGATGAAAAGTAATTCATTTTTATAAATATATTCTATTTAGTTTCATTGAAAACATGGCAACATAATTGTTACTGTATTTATTAGATTGGTAAAGCATGATTATTTTTGGAGATTCAGTGGCAGTTTAATAAAACTGTTGGATCAACTTTGAAGTCTACATCTTATTTATAAAAGCATTTTACTGCAGATTGATGTATAACAAAAATCAATATGTTTTTATGTGTATATGGCAAGTTATTAAATGTTCAGGTTAATATTTTCTCTGAAATTAGAGCGCGTATTACTGGCTGTGGAGGGCGGGCACCTTTTGGCTCTCTGGCAGTTCTCAGGCTTACTCAAATAGATGGGTGAAGTTTTTATCTTATGTGTAGGTATGCGTTGCTCAATTAAAACCAGCTGTGCTAAAGTTTCCCCGGACTATTAAGTATTATGTCAGTTGTTCAATTGTACCTTCTAGTCAGGTCTGTTATGCTACCATTCTTGTAAAACATTTCTAAGTGATTTTTAAAGAAGCTCCTCTTACTTAGATGTAGCTCAGTTGTACCCAAACCTGAACCAAATAGAATGGCATTTAGGTGACAGTGCACCATTTGGATGTCTGTTTAAGAATTAAATAGGATTTTAAATAACTGATGATACACTTTCATTCACTTTGTCTAGCTTCCTTGAAATCCATTAATTATGGAAAAGAGATCTGCGTAAGCTTTTGTTGATTCTCTTTTTTGGTTTTTAGTTAGTAGTTTGAATCATAGATCAGACTTAAATTGTACCTTGGTATCCTTTGATAGTGTGATCACACTTTATATTTAATAATGCTCTATATTAATAATTAACACAAAATCATGACTTAGTGGTTTTTTAATTGTCAAGAAGTTATAAATCAGACTTTTATGTTTTCTGGGTACAGTGTTATACATTGACATTTCATCCCTAGAAAACCATTTTTTAACATAAAAATATGATTATGAAACTATTGTTTTAAAATTAAAAATAAAACTTTAAAGTAAAATGATATGGGATTAAAACCACTATGTAATATTCCTTTTTGGTGATTTCCATGAGATAGACTAGTTAAGGCTAAAATATAACTTTCACACTTAATTGTACTTTTTAATAGAAAGGAGAAAATATTCTCATAGGTACACATAAAATAGGATTTTATTGACGTTTAAAATAGACTTTCTGCTTCTGATAAAATTTCCACTGGCCGATGTAGGCATGCTCTGTTGCTTTTGGAGATCTTTGAAGTCAAAATTAGAATAAACTCCCATATAAATTTTTGTCACTGATTTGGCATTTTAATCTGCTTCCAAATTTCCCTGAGTGGTAACTGTTGGGAGGAAAAGAGGTCCAGGAATGATAGTCGCTTTCCTGTGTCAGTAAACTCTTCATTGCCAAGCTCTGTGAGTAGTATTGTAATAGTTCAACCACCTAAGAAACTCTTAATCCTAGGGTGTTTGTGAAGTCAGTCAATTAATATGCTAATTTCCGATTTAATGTGAATTTTTAAAAATTTAAGGTTGGACTTACTGACTTTGTTCAAGTTTTGTGAATTAATTTCAGTGTCCAAATCTTGAACTAGATTTTTTGAGTAAACACTTGTTTGGGAAATTAGTTAAAGAGACCTTGAAGCATTCAGTAACTTCTTATTGATTGTTTGAATCACTGCAGTTGTGTTTAGGATAGGGGTGGGCTTTGTGCAGAGGTGGCATAATAATAATACAATATGCTTGGATGATGTTGCTGAAATCTGAGGATGTATTGATGTATTTTCCAAAGTTAAAAAGTCATTTAAAAGGGAGTTTAGGGGTCAGATTGGGTGAGTTCTATAGTATGTCAAGAACCTACTCGACTGCTGTACCAAGAACACTGTAGCATTTACTCCATGGAGACCACAGCCCACAAACAGGGAGTTTATTGTTAGAGAACTAGGTTGGACTTACTTGGAAAAACGTCCCATAAAATCTAGTCCTTAAATACTATTTAGATCACACTGAACTTTACAATTTAGTCTCCTTTGACGATACTGGAGTATCACCTCAGTAACCAAAGAAGAGGTAAGAGGTTAATGTTTAGAGTTTTGTTACAGAACAGAATTATTTGAGCTTTTGTTACTGTGGGTTTTATAGATTTGCAGAGGTATTCATTTTGTCGAGATTCCTATTTATTAATACAAAACACTTGTCAAAAAGTAGTCACCAAAAATAGTTTTTCTAAGGGAAAAATTTCATTTCTAATTTCTTATTGTTATTCTCCGAACTTGGATTTAATGAAAGATATTTTTCTACAGTAATCAAACCATTCTTGGCTACAATGAAACTTATTTTTAATTGAGACAGTGCCCTTGTTAAAATTGATAATTGTGATTTGTGTTTTTTTCCTAGATCCCTTTATTGAATTGACATTTAAAAGTAATTTCTATTTCTCAGTGTAATGGAAAGCAAAAAGTTAGTAAAAAGGAAAATATAGTTGCAAAAGACATGCTGTCCTCAGTTTTTTCATTAGTATTTGTAAATAAAATCTAAATCTGGTTCATTGCTGTGATAAATGTTATTTAAAACTGAAGTAGATTATATAGCGTGAAAGAACAGATTTCTATGGTAAACAAATCCTACCATCAGCTCTTCCTATTGTTTTGTGAATTCCAGTTCAAGGAAATTCCCTACTGAACAAATGAAACATAAAAAGTGGCATTATCTTCAGCTTAAGGGCTGCATTGCTAACGTAGGAGACTGTGCATTTAATTTCTTTACTTCATAACAGTATCTTGCTTTTTCATGTTATTTATTAATTATTCATTTATTCCCTCAGCAACATAATTTTGAGATTTGTATGATCTAGATTTTGAGGGACACAAACCTTTTTCCCTCAAGAGTTTAGGATGGCCCAATTGGAAAAAAGAGTAAAGTGACACAGGGAATCCAGGACAGATGATCCCTTCAAGACCAGTGATGAGAGTGGCGATACCTGGAGGGTGGAGGGAAGGTGGGGTGGAAAGGGGGAACCGATTACAAAGATCTACATATAGCCTCCTCCCTGGGAGATGGACAACAGAAAAGTGGGTGAAGGGAGATGTTGGACAGTGTAAGATATGACAAAATAATAATAATTCATAAATTATCAAGGGTTCATGAGGGGGAGGGGAGTGGGAAGGGAGGGGGGGAAAATGAGCTGATATCAAGAGCTCAAGTAGAAAGAAAATGTTTTGAGAATGATGGTGGCAACATATGTACAAATGTGCTTGACACGATGTATGTATGGATTGTGATAAGAATTGCATGAGCCCCCAGTAAATTAATTTTTTAAAGAGAGAGAGCGAAAAGTGGCTGGTTCCTTCAAAGTATACAGAGATCAATTGTTAAGGAAGTTCAGAAGAGAAAGATACATTTTTACTGATGGTGTATATTAATGTTCATGGATAGGTTGTTTAGCTTAAATATAACTTGTATACAGTTTTTCTAGCATAAGAAAAAAGATTAGCATAGTTTTTGTTTCTTATCATTTTCAGATGAAGAACATAGAAAAACAAAGCCGTCAGTCACAAAACATTTCAAATATTCCTTTTGCTTCTGTTTGCTTAGAAACTGTTGAAGGAGAAATGTTAACTTACTTTTAATTTTAAATAACCCAAAAGTTAAGCAGACGAACATTTCATAATAGTGTTCTAACATGATTTTATAACCTCCTGAAACTCTTAATTTACTAACTTTAAAAGATGAAAAATGTATGACAAGGGAAGGCTTTTAATCATCTATTGAAGGTAGGCATCTCAATTCAAATTATTGTAGATTGTTAACTATCATTGCCTTTAAGTTAGAATTATAATTTTCTTAGAGAGGGCTCTGGTTTAAAGGTAGTAACTAAATAAATTCTGATGGCTTGATAATGTATATTTACTTTCTGTACTCAGTTCAAGAGTATGCCATAAAGTTTTATTTATATGTATGCAAGTAATTAGACATTTTGCTGTAGGAAAAGTTTACGTTTCTTTTAAGTCAGTATTTATATCTTATTTACCTTTTTAGTTATTATTATAGTACTTAAAAACTTGAAATAATAATTCCGTATTTAAATATATAGCACTCTACTTTTGCTTAAAATAATATGGAGTTAAAAAATGTAAAACCAGAAGGAATTTTTAAGTGATTAGGATATTAGAAATCAGCTCACTGTTCAGGCGGGAGCCCAGGGTCCCAGGCTGGGGGATGGGCACAGGGTCATCCTCTGAGGTTTAGAACAGCAGCTAGGCCTGTGGCTGGAGTTGGAGCCTCGTCACATGCAGGGAAAATCTGAGTAAAAACAGGAAGATGGCTGTGGACAAGGCTGCGGGTCAGGGAGTCGAGAAACATGAAGGGACAGGTCAGTCCTCTGGGCTTACCCATCAGGAGAAGGAGTTGTCCAGCAGTGCCTTTCAAGCTTTTGCAGCTGGAAATTATCATACCTGTCTGCAGCACCTTGCCTGTGTACAACATATGAACAAAGATGATTATAGAATAATTTTGAATACTTCAGTAGCTGAATTTTTTTAATGTAACCAAATAACATAATTTGAGACAGACATTTAACCAGCTGAATCATGTGATCCACAATCAGATTTTGCTATAAAAATATTGTGATATTCTTTAATATGTGAAATAAAAATAGTATTAGATATTTGTTTATTTTGTTAAGTATATCTTGCAGAGAAAGGATTTCCGATGTTTCATTTTAAACCTAGATGATACAAATTATAGTATGGTTTTATAATCTATTGAAACATAATCTACAATTAGATTCACTCAGTACGGGAAGGAGGAGTGTTTTTTTTTAAGTAGGACATTCTTGAATAGAGAAGTAAAGAATGATATGTCAGAACTAAAAGAGCTGTTTTAGTCCCTTTGCTTGACTTGAAAGACAGAGGCCCACAAAGATATGTAATTTGCTCCGGGTCCTGTCCCTGCCAGAATGGCAATGCTAGAACAAGCCTTCGGTTCCAGTGTTTTCACCACCATAGAACACCACAGGGTAAGCCAAAGCCTAGAATATGTGTCCTCTGTAAGCCTGGAGCATCTCTGGAGGCTTGTAGTTGTCCATTTAAAGCTAGGTAAGTTATCATATCTGTTTCTAACCTACCTTTTTTTTTATCATTTTATTGGGGGCTCGGATAGCCCTTATCATAAGCTATACATACATCCATTGTGTCAAGCACATTTGTAATTTGTTGCCATCATTATTCTCAAAACATTTTCTTTCTACTGGAGCCCTTGGTATCAGCTCATTTTCCCCCTCCCACACCCGCCCTTCCCTCATAAACCCCTGATAATTAATCTTTTTTTTTCATGTCTTATACTGACCGGTCTCCCTTCACCCACTTTTCTGTTGTCCATCCCCCAGGGAGGGGGTTATATATGGATCATTGTGATCAGTTTCCCCTTTCTTCCCCCCACTACCTTTTTGTTTGTTTGTTTTTTTAAACAGAGAGTTGTTAACTTCAATACAAACTGACCTTTCCAAATAGTATTTTTTGAAACTGGAAAAGTGCTAGATGACTGGTTACTGGAGTTGAATAGCCACATGACACAAGTTCAGAATGTGCACGTGTGATTTGCAAAGTGAATTAAAGAGTGCTTTCTGGGAAGATGGTCTTGTGAACAGATCAGTCTAAGGTTCTGACCACCTAAACCCATCTCATGAGCACTAACAAAAGCAAATAGAAATCTGTAATCTCAACTCTGTAAGAATTCGGATAGATAGATATTGGATTGTGAGAACTAACCACAAACTGAAACGGGAAAGTGGGGACTTTTAATTGGTAGAAAACGTACTATAGTCTCCATCTCTCCCTTGCCCTCTCTTGTAGCCATGGAAGCTCTTGCAGCAGGAACAGACTACAATTTGTGAATTTAGAGGAGGGTAGGTCTCTGGCTCTTAGAGTAAACAGGACAGACTGACTGCTGGTGTACTCTTCATTGTTTCTGTTCTAATCCATTTGGGAGCTGTCTGAAGGTCTGAATTGTACTCTGGCCTATATTGGAGCTCACATTGAGTGAGCAAGGAAAGAGATGAACAAAGACCGAAGGCTGCAACCACAGGAGAATTTCTTGCAGAAATTAGTTCATTTGAAAACATCATTTATATTGGGGATTTGAAAAAGCCACACACAACCCCAGAGCAAACACGGTATAATATTCTGTGTCCTGGATTCAACAAAAAATTGCAAGGCATGCAAGAAACTGAAAGTCATCACCCATTCAAAAGAATAAGCTGAAAAGAGGTAAATCTTCTCTATTGCAGCCAGATAATGGACAAAATGAATAACTTTAAAACAACAGTATTAAACATGCCCAAAGAAGTTGAAAGAAAAGAGCTAAAGAAAAGCAGGAAAGAGTTACACGAATAAAGCAAGAATATAAGCTGTCCCTCAGTTATGAACATCTGATTTCCATACATCCTGTGGTTAGGAACCAGCCCCCATAAAGCTTATTATATTATAAATTTGAAGTACGTACAGTGGTTGGTAATAACAAGTAGGCACTACTCCTCAAAACGTTATTAGTACGCTAAACAATAGACTGTGAGCAAACAACATAAGTGGAAATGGATAACCTCGGGATGGAGTGGGAAGAGTTCTCTTGAGGGGATTCCAACTAAATGTGTGTGAGTTGTTGAATGGGAGATGAATATTTCTGTTAACATTCACCAAAACTATATTAAAATATTTAATGAAAATTACTATTATTGTATTACTATGTTAGAGAGACTTTAGTGTAGCGAAGTGTTTCTTTAATGTCTTTTATGCATAGAAATGCATACTATGTTCCATATACTAAGACAAACATTTGACTAATACTAGATACAAACCTTACTAACTATTCTGGTTAGTATGGTTCAGGTTAAAGTTCAGGTTAAAGACAGACTTAGGAACAAAAATCTTCATACCATTTCTCCCTGAACTGATAGGTAGGTGATAAGAAAAAAAAATTCTTTTCATTAACTGGAGATGAAAAGTGCAGTAAACAAAATGAAAAATCCAGTGGAAGGTCTCAACAGAAGAGTTGAGCTGACTGAAAAAGGGAAAAAGGGATAAAACGGATATTTAAAGAAATCATGGCCTGTGAGCAAGTCCAACACACCTGTCGTGACAAAAACACTCAACAGACTAAGAATAGAGGGGAAATTCCTCAGTATGATCAAGGGCATATATAAAAGCCCATGGTTCTACTCAATGGACAAAGACGGAGAGCTTTCTTCTTAAGACCAGGAACCAGTCAATGATGCCTGATATTGTACTGCAATAGCCAGAGTAATTAGGCAAAGTAAAGAAATAAAAATATCTAAATTGAAGGGAAGAAGTAAAACTATTTGAATTTGCTGCTGACATGATCATGATCCTATATATAGAAAATCGGAAAGAATCCACAAGAAAGCTATTAGAACTAATGAATACATCAGCACATCTGTTGGGTTTGGGTACATCAGCAATGAGCAGGCTAAGAGGAAATTAAAGTGAAATTTCATTTGAAATGGAATCTAAAAGCATGAAGTACTGAAAGAAAAAAATGGAAAAGAATCAAGTACCTAGAATGAATTACCCAGGGAGGTTGAAGACTTGCACACTGAAAATTCTAAACATTGCTGAAAAGAATTTAAAAAGATGGAAATAAGGAAATGCAGTTCATGTCCATTGATTGGAAGATTTAGTGTTATTAATATGGCAATACTAAACAAAGCTATCTGTAGCTTCAGTGCCATGTCATGAAAATCCCAACATCCTTTTTTGCAGAAATGGGAAAAACCAATCCTTAACTTTTTGTGGAGTTGCAAGGGCCCCCAAATTACAAAGCAGTCTTTAAAGTAAAAAGTGCTATTATTCACAATTTTTTTTGGTTTCTTATTTGTGCAACATCTTGAAGGATATTAACTATATGTGAAGTACTGCTTCTTCTTTCCCAACTCTTCAACTTTTAATAGAAACCTTTTACTTTCTAAAATATGTATAACTAAATAAGGAACCTATGTTTCTGGGAATAAGTTCTAATGTTAAGATTAAGTTTAAAATGTTTCTTGAAATATTTTGTAACGTTTTATTTTCCAATTGTTAGTCATTAGTTTTTTTCATTTCTAAACTACAGCCTTAATATTCAAAAGTTTAGTCCTTATAAATGGAAAATACATTTTCAGTATTTAACAGAGAAAAATATATATATTTCAAAGTTTACTTCACATGCTCCAATATTATTTTACTTTTTGTACTAGGTCATGCATGCATTTAGCAGTTACATACTTAAGAGGGTGGGTGATCTTTGAATGTTATGAATTTTTTTAACCTTTTGCCAAGTATGCTTGATTTTATAGAATATTTTGATAATTGGCATAAAAATAAGCTTATTAAATATCCAAGAAAATGGCAAGGAAGATTGTATTGCCTTACTGAAATTTGGCAAAAGTATTTATTCTTGAACTTTTCTGCAGAAAATCAAGGCAATCCAGATATGAGTGTGTATGTGTACTTGTATAAATAACTGAAGGGAAAATGAAACTACAATGTGGGAAATAGACATGGAAATTATCTGCTCCTTAAAGACTTGTAGGCAATATTGTACAGATTTTATAAATTCCGAGTGGATGGCTGGATTTATACCTAGATTTTCTCGCTTCTGTGACATACTGATATTATTTCTTGCCCTTCAAAGACAGTACACATTGCCTTGATCAATAGGTTATTGTTGTGTGCATGTGAACAGGAGCATGCTCTGTCAAAGAGAATTTACCTTTTCACACCACTTATTTATCCTTTCACATATATATGTGTATATATATATATATATATAATGATGTATTTACTGCTACAGAAAGGAGAAGTTTGTGTTTTCTGCTTTTGTAGCTTTACCATACAGAATTTTCTTCTGACCTTTAACATTATGACCGAGCTGTCCACTGAATGTTTTTTTTACTGATTGTGTTTATTGGGACTAGCTCACTTTGTTCTTAAATATCATTGCTAGTTTATTCAAGGGGCACTGTATGTCAATATAAGTATTTAAATGTTTAAATAGAAAGCTAGACACCTTTTGTTAGCCATAAGTTTCATTTTATAGATGAAGAAATATTTTTACTACAGATTGAGTTTTTTAAATTACTGTTTCCCAGTTGGATTGTGATGGTAAGTAGTGAGGAAGATGTAAAGGTCTTTAATTTCAGACTTAACCACTTGCTCAGGGTTACCTGTGGACGTGGTGTTGCTGACGTCCTCGCTTCATTCCGTGATTGTTGTCTCTACATTGACGTTTATGGGGAATTTCATTTAGCTCCCACTGTACTTCTCATTACTCTATGTGTGTGCAGGGAGATTTACCTGAAAACATCGATGGTGGTTGCTAGCATCTGAGAAGAAATCATTAATATTTATGAAAGTACATGTTGTGTGTCACGCAGGATATGGCCTTTGCTTGAACTGGGTAGCTTACGGCGTTATTCAGGAAGCGGATGGAAAGTCTCCATTCCGACCTTATGCTTTCCCTTTCCCTCCTCTCTGCCTCTTGATCTTTTGGTTTTAAAATCTGCCTCCTTATTTTGTAGACACTGCTCTCCTGTTCACTACTTCTTCTCTGTCTTTACGTCTCATCACTGGGCCTCTCTCAGTGTCTGTTTCCCCAACCTTCACCCCAAATTCCAGCTGTATATCTACAACCAGTTGGTCAGGTAACTTGCACCTTTTCAAGTGCACTCTTTGATAGAGCATGCTCTGTTCTTTTTGTTGGTTTTGCTTTGCTTTTCTTGTTCATCTTCTTCTGTATCTCCCCGCCCCCTTTTCTTTTTTAACAGCCTGAAGGCTGCTTGTTTTGTTTCCACATTAATTTGATATGCTGACGACTTAAGAAGTGGCGTGACAGTTCTTATGTGTTTTTAAGTGTTTGTTGGATGTGTGAATACGTTTTTGTTAATTAACCATCAGTGTGGGTCTAACAGCAGGAATTTAAGTAGCCCACCTTTTATCCAATAGCTTTTTACATACTCAAATAACATTTCCTAAATCTGGCACTTCTAGTCTTTTGGAACTAAGACATGATGAGCCATTTAAATTCAGAGTTAAGGTTAAGTCAAGATATGTGGTGCTGCGTACTTTTTATTCAACTAAATACTTCGTTTTGACTGTGGAAGGCTTCTGACTGGGACTCAATGGTCTCTAGGAAAAAAAGAAAAGATAGATCATCATCTGACATTGCACATATTAAGCGGTGGAACCAAACTCTCTAGACTTGCAGCAAAATCTGAATGAATTTTCAAACAAATCTCAAAAAGGGACACATGTTTTCCATTTGTTTGTTGTAGGGTCCGGGGTTTGTTTAATTGGTGGTGCTTTGGGTCTTTGTTTGGGTTCATTTTCTGGTCATAGCCTTCAGAACAAATTCTGTACATCTTCTATTAAGAAAGGCAGCACATAGGAAAGATGAATATATGCATCATGGCTGTTGAGATAGTCTGAAGATTTTTTCCCCCCTTTACTAATCTTAAAACCATTGCAAGGGAAAATTAATTCATTCAGCGTCTACATAAGTTGACTCATTAATCTTCTATGAGCAAGCTTTTTTTCAGAGAAGAGTAGTGTGAATGTTGTGTTTTACACGCAGCTTGTAGATGAGGGAGTGAGTGGTACAGCTTTCGGTGATTTCTGTCCACAGGCAAGTTCTCATTATTCTTCACCGTGTGGCCACAGGTTTCTGACAAAGCGAGAGCAAAAACTCATGCAAAGGCGGCAGCACGCGGAGGAGCTGCTGGAGTGGAAGCGACGTTTAGATGCAGAGGAAGCCGAGATTCGTCAGATGGAGAAACAAGCGCTGGCTGCTTGGGACAAAGACATAATAAAAACGAAAACCCCTAAGAAAGAACTGGAGGACCATAGAACAGAACACAAAGGTAATACTAACTCCATTCAAAATATAACTAAAGGCTAACACTATTTAAAAACATGCGCCATTACCCTTTAAAATGTGAATGATTAACAAGGGGAAAAAATAGAACTGCAAGTGTCGAACGTAGAGCCTGCTATGAAATCTGTGCCAGCACACCTGAGATTTTCGATGAAACGGAAACATTTCTTGAAAAGTACAGCCTTATCAGCATTTACCAGTCAGCAAGAGGGAACCTTACTGCTCTCTGACCATCTGAGAAATGTTAACCCAGTACCTAAAAAATGTTTTTACATAGATGTTTACAGATCTTTTACAAAGTGTACTCTGCCTTCACTAGTACACCAGACATTTAAGTGTGTATGGGGGTGGGGGGGGCCTTATCATTCTTTACTTCCCATAGATGGACAAAGAGGAGGCATTCTTCTCACTGCCTTGTGAAGTCAGCATGTAACTTTGATACTAAGTCCAGAGGAGGACAATACTAAAACGGACAAGGCCAATCTTATTTATCCCAAGTAAAATATTAACAATGCCTCATGATCAACTGTGGTATAGCACAGAATTCTTACACGATCATCTCAATGGATCCAGAAAAGGTGTTAGATAAAATATTTTTTAATTGTGATACAACAAACCTCGGTTTAAAGTATGAGTAGAAAGAGGTTTTCTTTAATTAAAAAAAAAAAAAAACCAACCCTAACCTCTGAGAGCACACTTACAAGCTATGTAACAGAGATCGTACTTATTCTAGTTACCTACCTTCTGCAACAGAAATACCACAAGTGGGCGGCTTTAAAGAACAGAACTGCATTTTCTAACCGATTAGGAGGCTCAGAGCTTAAATTCAGGGCATCAGGTCTAGGGTAGGACTCTCTAGCTTAGGGGAAAGGATCTTATCTGCAGCTTTTGTAGCCCTGGTGTTCTTTGATCCCTTGGTGCTCTTCACCTGACACCTGTGTTTCCTAGTTTGCTTCTTCCTATGTCTATGTTGTTCCTTAGAAGTAGGAGCATTTATACGACCTCCTTAACATAACAAAAAAAACCCCATGGGCTAACATTTAAAGTATAAGGGTTAGAGTTCTACACATTATTTTGAAGGAACCAATCCAATCATAACAAAACTTAATGATAAAACCAAGCCTACAATGGAGAGCACACTTAATGATAAAATGTAGAATAGTTTCCCTTTGCTTTTGGAAGTTAAGACAAGGATGCCAATTTTTACCTTTTTGTATTAAACACTGAATGTAGATCCTAAACAGTTCAGTAAGAATGAAAAAAGAAACTCTTTAGGTCAGAGTAGAACTACCTCTATGGATTTCTGATACTATAAATTTTTACAGGTGTAGAAAACCTCATCTTTCTTCTGCAGAGCAGCTGGTGGTTTTGAACTACTGACCTTGTGGTTAGCAGCACAACACCTAAACCACTACACCACTAGGGCTCCTATTGGGTCAGCATCCCAATGTGTAACCTACTATACCACTATAGGGCCGCTATGAATGGGAATTGACTATAGCAGTGAGAAAAAGAAGTAAAAGGTATAGGGAGTAAACGGAAGCAGAAAGACTCATTGTTTACAGATGATAAGCAGTACACATAGAATATCTACATGCCGATTAGAATTAATTGAATTTAGAAAAGCTGTATATGAAATCCATAAATAAAAATATTTTACATGCCCACAAACCAAAAAATTATTGGTTAGAGATAGCATTTTGTAACAGAAACCCAAATCACAAAATACCTAGGAATAAATTTAATAAAAAATGTATAAGATCTTTACGGAGAAATTTTTAGAATTTTATTGGGAGACATTAAAGACCAAAATAGCTAGAGAGCTATTCCTTATCCACAAGTAGAATCCTAAGAAATAAACGCTCCCTGAACTGATTTCTAGAGATAAACCAATTTAAATAAGCCCAGCGAAGTTTGCTTGAAGGTTTGAAAGAGGACAGGACCAAAAATAGCAAGGGTACCTAGGTGTGGAAAAACCACACATTCAGAAACTTACTGTACGTGACAGCAGAACTTTTAAAGTTGTATGTAGTGATGCAAACAGCCTGATCATTGTACAGAGATAATACACATAGCCAAATGGAACAGATTGCCAAAAAGTCATGGGGCATGTATGAGAAGTTGACTTCTGGTGTAGGGGACTCTGCAAACCAGTGGAAAAGAAAGACTTTTCAGTAAATGCAGTGAGGGGGACAAATGAAGTTGGATCCAGCCTTGATGATAACAAAAGATGTGCTCCAAAGGGAAAATAAGGAAAGTCAAAATCACACAACCTGTTTATAAGGTAATTTTTATACCAAAGAGGGAGAAAGATTCCTTTAAAATGTTACTTCTGCAAAGCAAAAACCTTAAGGAAATCATTGGTAAATCTTACTTACCTTGTATACTCATGTATAAGCCAAGTTTTTCAGCACATTTAAAAAAAATCATTTTATTGGGGGTCATACAACTCTTATCACAATCCATACATACGTCAATTGTGTAGAGCACATTTGCATATTCGTTGCCCTCATCATTCTCAAAACATTTGCTCTCCACCCAAGCCCCTGGCATTAAGTCCTCATTTTTCCCCCTCTCATGAACCCTTGATAATTTATAAATTATTATTTTGTCATCTCTTACACTGTCCGACGTCTCCCTTCACCCACTTTTCTGTTGTCCGTCCCCCAGGGAGGAGGTTATTTGTAGATCTTTATAATTGGTTCCCCCTTACCACCCCACCCTCCTGATATCACCACTCTCACCACTGGTCCTGAAGGGATCATCTGTCCTGGATTCCCTGTGTTTCCAGTTCCTATCTGTACCAGTGTGCATCCTCTAGTCTAGCCAGATTTGTAAGGCAGAATTGGGATCATGATAAATGGGGGGGAGGGGTTAAGCATTTAGGAATTGGAGAAAAGTTGTATGTTTCATCGTTGCTACATTTCAGCACATTTTTAATGCAGTTTTTATGGTAAAATTAGGTGCCTCAGCTGATATTCGGGTTGTCTTATACTCGAGTATATACAGTAAACGGATATTCGTTCATTAATATACTATAAAGTAAAACAATAGATGGTATTTAGTTATCATATGACTGATAACTATCTTGGAAGTACAGCCAAGAATGCTCTTTAAAGGCAAGAATGGTGAGGCTTCGTCTCATGTACTTTGGGTATGTTGTCAGGAGAGACCATGCCCCAGACAAGGACATCATATTTGGTAAATAAAGGGGCAGCAAAAAGAGGGAGGCCCCCCCACCAGACAGATTGACACAGTGGCTGCAACAGTGGGCTCAAGCGTAAGAACAATTGTGAGGATGGTGCAGACCAGGCGGCGTTTCATTCTGTTGTGTTTAGATATGGCCACTATGATTTGGAACCAACTTGATGGCACCTACCATGACTGATAAATCATAATTAAGAATATATAAATATGAAATCATAGAAACTTTTATTAAATATCAAAATGTAAAGCTACTGTTTCTCAGCATATCCTCTGTTTAGTTTTATACACTTTTGAAGGCAGTGTTTCCGTCTCTCTAACATTTCCCCGAAAGGAACCTGGTGGTGCTGTCGAGTAAGTTGGACTGTTAACCAGGTGAGCAGTTCAAACTCACTAGGCACTCCATAGGAGAAAGGAGAGGCCGTCTGCTCCCAAAATAAGACTTACAGCCTTAGAAACACTGCATGGGATCACTGTGAATTGGATTGAGATGGCAGTGGGATTATTTTGAACCTTGTCCCAAAGAATTCTGCACTCTGATTTATACCATGTAAAAGTGGCAATTTCGACATCCTCTAGGGACTCAAATCATTTTCATTTTTAATATTCTCTTTGAGTTCGGGGAGCACAAACTCTGATGGAGTCAGATTAGGCCTGTAGAGTGGATGTAGTAAGGTTGGGCATGTGTGTTAATCGTGGAAAACCGCGTTAGTGCAACTTCCTGGCCTTTTTCTCACAAATGCAGTTTTCAGTTTGCTTAAAATGTCTTTATGATTAGTCCTGTGATTGTTATCCTTTAAGAACATCTATTGATTATTCATTTGCACTTTCGACCATTTGAAATAAAAAAGTCAGCATTTACCCTAGGACAGTGTTCAGAAAGGTTAAGAAGGACTAAAGGGAACAAAAAAAAACTATTTCCCCTTTGGGATCCCAAAGGACAGGCACCTAACCTTCAGAACTGACCTGTCTTGGATTCAACTGGTCTAGTAGGTCCCTTATTTTAACTGCATGTGTGTGTGTCACTGTGTCACGATTAAGACAAGTTTATTACTGAGACATCTTGACTGAAGCTGCCCACTAATTGCAGAGACATGGCTAAACAAGTTTTGTTTGGAATAAACCCATACATCCATGAGCTAGAACTGTAGTAGTACACCTTTTCACTTACCTTTGTATAAGCAACTCTTAAGAACCAAAAGAAAAAGGTAATCCATGAAAAATAAAAACAGGAAATGAACTGCCCCATTACAAATGAAGATCCCAAAGACTTACTGTGTTCGACAATCGCATTCATGGTGACCATGTGTGTCAGAGTGTGAGTGCACTCTATAGCTGTTCAATAGCTATGTCTTAGAGAAGGAGATGGCCAGCCTATCTTCCATGGTGCTTTTGGGTCGATTCTTAGGACTACCAACTTGTTGATTAGTAGTTTAGTGCAAACTGTGTGCACCCCCTCAGGATCTTATAGAACCAATAATCACTTAAAAAATGTTCAACTTCCTTAGTAAACATAGAATAAGAACCATAAAGAGATACCATTACACACCTGTATTAGTTTCCCAGGGCTGCCATAACAAACTAACACGATGGGAGCCTGAAACAACAGACACTTCTAGTTTTATAAACCAGAAGATAAAAAGGAAGATGTTGGCAGGGCTGCACTCGCTCCTCATGTTCCAGGGGACAGTCCCTTCCTTCCTTCTTCATTCTCTTGTAGATACCAGAAGCAACTCTAATGTCCGCCCCCCCTTTACATGTCCTTCATATGCCCCTACTCTG